AAAATTCTTCATCTGTTATTTATCAAACTTTATCTCATTTTGAAATTTGAAATTAAGAAAAAGTAAACTTATTTAATCAAATTACTTTTTTTAATCAACTATTGTATAATTCTAATATTATTTTACAAAAGCAAGTTTCTTAGCTTTATTATAGAAGAAATTAATAGTTTTAGATATAAAATGCATAATCAAATATCTTCAATTTTTAATGCTTTTTGAATAATTTATTTAGATACTTTTCTATCTCTATTTTATTTTGAAAAAAGTTGACAAACTTTTTCTAAGTTTTAACATCTAAGATTTTTATTTTAAAAAATAGTATTTATTAGTTTTTTTATCTTTACTTATTCATAATTTAAAAATGTTCTGATTATTTATTAATAATTTAATTATTTATATTTAAAATTTGAAATACTATTGATTAAGAGTTTTTAGCAACTTTTGCATTTTTTCTTATTTTTTTTTTTTTTATAATTTAATAGAAAATATTTTATTTTTATTAAATAATTTAAAAAATTTAAATAATAGTTTTTTAATTTATCATAATTTATAATTTTCATATTATATTTTTATCAACTTATGAATAACTTATTATTTTATAATAATATTAATTTTAGAATTATATAAATCATTTTTTTAATAATAAATAAACTTATATTTTGACATAAAATATAAAATATATTATAATTAAAACTATAAATGTAAAATAATATTAAAAATAATTTTATTAACATTTTATTTAGAAAATTTAAGAAAATAATAAAAAATAATTAAATGAAAATAAAAATGAAGATTTAACAATATAAATAAATAAAGAATTAATAATAAAAATATAAATAAATAATTAATAATATAAAAAAAAATAAAGATTTACCAGTACAAGTAAAATAATGATTTAATAATTTAAATAAAAATGATGATTTAGTTAAATGAAAATTAATAAAATAATAATAATATAAAGAAGAATAATAATAATATGAAAATTTAATAGAATATTAATAATAGAATAATAATAATATAAAGATTTAATAGATAAAAATAATAAAATAACAATAATAATTTGCAAATTTAATATAATATTTAAATAATAAAGAAATAACAATTTAATTTATTATGAAAAAATAAGAAAATTATGATATAAATTGAATTATAAATTAATAAATAAATAAATAAGATTTAATAGAAAAGAAAATTTAATATAAAATTATGATAATAAAATTTTTAGATAAATAAAAATTAATTTGTAAAACAAATTATTTTGAAGATAAGTAATAAAAATAATTTGAAAAGATGTAACTCTTGTTGAAATTATTGAATTTATAAATATTAATAATTTGTAAATTAAGGTATTAGCAATTACAACATATAGGAAGTTTATTAGAAATATCAGACTTTAAGAAGTTTTTTAATAATTTTTATTGCATTTTAATTTTGGATATTATTAGATTAAAATCTTAATTTTAATCAAAAAAATTCTTAGAATCTGATTTTCTAATAAATATTTTATTTTATATAATATAAGTATTTTGCAATAAAAAAGAAAGAAACTTTAAAAATTTTTTTTTGAATTAATTATATTTAATTTATAAAGTAAAAAATTTTTTTAGTAGTTTCCTTTTTAATATAAAGTGTTTATATAGAATCTTTGCAATAGAAAAGAAGAAAACTGTAAGAAAAAAATCAATTTTACTTTTTTTTTTTCCAAAAATTTAAACTATTAAATTTATTATCTAGAATTTCATATAATATCTTTTAACTATATTATAATTTAAAAATTAGGTATATTACTAGGTATAATAAAATTTTTCTTTAATATTAGTTATAAAAGTTTTGTATAAATTAAATACTATTAATTTCTATTATAAGTAAACCTAAATATCATTATAAAATATTGAATTATCCAAATTTTAAATTTTTTAACATTATATTTATTTTATTTATTTTATATATAGAAAAAAGTGGATGATAATCGGATCATAATTCATGGCTTAGCATTTATATTGGGATCGATCAAAACAAACAAATTACTTTGTACATGCAATTCCAAATAGATCTTCTAAGGAAGAGACTGACTTTTCTAGAGGTAAAAACATGATAATCAAATATTTTATGAAATTGTATGACTAATCGAAATAGTGAAGCTGATAGAAGAGAATTACAATTGTAATAAAATTACACCAAATCTTCTATCACTTCACATAATGGACCATTATAGTTGAACGTATGAATGTATATTAGGTAAGTCAATGAATTTGCCGCCATGGCGTTATAGCGTTACAACGCCAGTCTCGCATGTTTTTTTTTTGACGATCATATTTTCAAAACGCATGGTATTTCTCATTAGTATATATAATAAAATTTTAAAGAAAAATATTTAAATTATCCAAAATTATTTGTTTTAAATAAAAATGGAAATGTTGAATCAACTTTAAACATTCGTACTTGATTTTTACCAAAACATTTAATTTTAAATTCTGAAATTATAAACCAGTTATGTCTTGCTTAAAGAACACGTACATGCCCACGTTTTGGGGTTTTAGAATGATTGGGGTATGCATGTGATTTACTCATGATTATTTAATAAATGTTGGGAAATTGTGACAATGTAAATAATAATTAAGTGACATCATATGCTATAAAATATTTTTTTTTTTTTTTTGGAACTTGAACTTTTTTTTTCTTAATTATAATTTACTCAATTTGGATTAGATTTTTTTTGGTTAAATTGCAAGTATAAAAAACCAAAAAAAAATCTTTTTCCTTCCTTTTTTTTTTCTCAAAAAGTATAAAAATTAGTACAAAAATTTTTATTTCAAAAAGTTCTTCATAATTATATAATGCCTATACGCCGAAAAATGTCTTCATCGATACGTAATTCATCGGAAACTACATTACAAGGGGAAACCACTTCTATAACAACATCGGTTGATCACGCAACAAAAATAACTGAATTTCCTTATCCACTTAATAATACTTTACCTGTTTCAAAAGTTTCGGCAACCTGTAATTTTGCCGACTTACCTCTTTGGCTTCAAGATAATTGTTATATATTGAGAGGTTATCGAAGGCCTACATTTTGTTATATGAAATGTGCTAAATCTTTATTTTACATTCATAATGAAAGTGGTAAGTTCATCTTTTAAGATTCGAAACTACATGATAAGAATCATACATTTCTAACTTATTTGATTCTTCAGTTAATATTTGGTCCCATTTAGTTGGGGCGATAACATTTATTTGCCTGGGGTTCACAACGTATTTTTATAAATTGTCACATCAACCTAATGTGAGACTCTGGGACTTCTTTGTATTTTATATGTTTTTACTTGGTGCTATGGTTTGTTTAGGATTTTCTTCAATTTTTCATACATTATGTTGTCATTCAGAAAGAGTTTGTGCAAATTGGAATCGATGTGATTATGTCGGTATTGTGACATTGATAGTAGGATCATTCTATCCGATGATATATTATGGTATTTAAAACATTTTTTTTTTTTTTTTTAAATAAAAAAAAAATAAACTTATTTTGATCCTTCTAAATTAATCCCTAGGATTTTATTGTCATTCAACCTTACAAATAATTTATCTTTCAATGATTTCCATATTTGGAGCTGCAACGGTAGTTAATATCCCTAATTACATTACCATATGTTACATTATAATTGATTTACCAATTTCGATCTTATAGATTTCAGTTGCAGTCGCAAGTAGGTTTAGATCACCACAATATAGATGGTTTCGTACAGGGTTATTTTTGGCTATGGGATTAAGTGCAATTGTACCGTTGGTTCATGCTGTTGTAATTTATGGTGTAAGTAAAGAACGTAAATTTTAATTTTCAAAAATCTTATTTTCCCAAAGGCGTTAAAATCCTTTGATTTTATCATAGATTCAACTTTGTTTTGATGTGATATCACTAAAGTGGTTATTATTAATGGGAGCTTTGTACGTTGTTGGGGCTGTCATATACGGTGCTAGGTATGTTATATAGATATCTTGAGATCATACGCAATATATGTTACAATAAATTTATGATTATAATTTCTAATTATAGAATGCCAGAAAGATGGTTTCCAGGAACATTCGATATCATTGTAAGAATTTATACACATTTAAAATCAATTTACATAAATTTTACTTTTATTAACATCTATTTTTTTTTTTAAAAAAAAATAATTCATAGGGATCATCACATCAAATATTTCATTTTTTTGTAGTAGTGGCAGCACTTGTGCATTATTACGGAGTAATGGAAGCAATGGTATTTTGGCATGATCAAAATCATAATTGTCAACTCGATGTTAAAATAATGAAACCTAAAGCATATATATAGGAACGATTTAAGCATTTTGATAAATTTAGAATAATTGATTTACGTCATTTATAAGGAGCATAATGGACATCTCCAATAAAAAACTATTTAGTTCACGTAAAGGTGACACAAACAGCCAACATAAATAAGTCATAGATGTTAAATAATATAGTTTGCATCCTAAAGCCTTTTATTATTAAATATAGAATAAATTCACAAGTTCCTGTAATTATTTTAACTTAAAATCACTAGACTACTATTTGGTTTTTCCTATTTACAGTATAATGAATGATTTTTTTTTTTAAAAAAAAGTTTGAATTTTTGTTAATTATGAAATCTTAAGATCGAAAGGAAAAAGAAGAAACTATATCCAAGAAACTATCTTCATAAAAGAAACTATAATTTAAAGCTATAATCAGTTAATAAAAGGATGAAATGTTAGCAAGGAGATAATGATAAGGACAAACTGAACAAACAAATAAAGCATTCTAACATAAAATCCAAATACATGTCCCTTTCAAATTAATCCCATGTAATAATTCCAAAGACGTACGGATGCAACCTTCGTTGTGTTATATATCACCTGTGTAAAACATAAAAATTTTTAATAAAGATAAATCTAATCTTTAAAATTTACTAAAATAATAATAATAATCATCATCATCATCATAATAATAACTTAACTAATTCAAATCACTTTAATATTCTGGTAATCATGTCTTTTGATAATCGTATTCCATGTCACCAAACCTTCGCAATCCACTTCAACCAGCTTAGGAAACGATGTGGTATTCATCAATTCTTTACAAATATTTTCACTTAGATTTTTGCATCCATGTACGATTAATACTTCTAATTGATTAGATTCTTTAAATATTGATCGAAGTGATTTACACTTTTTAAAATCAACTCTACGAAAGTGTAACATTTTTAATGATTTGGCGTGATATTCCAGTGCCGAAATTATTGTCGGGGTAATCTTTCCTCTTCTCAAATAAAAGGTTTTTAATTCTTTCTGAGATTTTATGATTTCCGCTAGTTTTTGATCAGAAGACCAATATGTCTCATCTAATGTCATATCAACTTTAAGAATTTTCTAATTTTTTTTTTAAAAAAAAAAACATAAAGGTTTTATAAAACAATTAAAATAAGGCAAATAATAAAGGAAAAAAAAAAACTTTTTCGACACAAACCAATCTTTGACAAGTTTGGCATAATAATTCCAAGCACTCAACATTAACTAATTTCCTTACATCCAAAGAAAGTTGTTTAATGTTTGAAATGAAAGATTGATAATTCGGTTCCTGTAACAAAATCCACAACTCATGATGTAGATTATCCAATAAAGATCTTTTATCCAAATCAAGTTGGTAAAGGGTAACGCAATGTTTTGCAAAGATGTTAAGTATTCCTCTCAGTAATAAATTATATTGTTTTGAAATTGGCTGAGGGCAATTATTACGACACCATAAAAATATTGCCTGGGATAACTCTTGCATGCTTATTGATTTCAAGAAAGAAGGATAACAATAAGTTGCGGATTTTCTTTCACAAACTTTATCAAATGTGATTCCGGATTTTTCCAATACTTTTTGTTCTTTCTCAGTAAAAAAAGCCATATAAGTTGTAATGATCCCCTGTGATGGGATAATATTTGACCATAGTATTGGCGTGGAATTTGCACTCCAATATTTACTAACAAGTATGCAGGAGTATAAATCTTCCAAAGTTTCTGCGCGATCAGAATTTATTCCATCGTTATACAATATTGAAAAAATTTCTCGCAAAATTTCCGTTGGAATTTTATCGATACTTGAAGTACCTATAATATATATATATATATATTTTTTTTTTTTTCTTTCTGTTAAAAAAATTAATGAACATTATAACCTTTCGAAAATTCACTTACCGTTATTGTTGTCTTTCAAGCAACGTTTATATACCATCTAGTTATCGCATATGCCTACACGGAAATTAAGAAATAAAGGAGAAGAAAAAAGGTAAATTGTCCGTGCGTCAATGATTATTTTAAAAATATATGTGAAATGATCAGACCAATAACGTCATTGATTCGAAAAGCTGCCTAACCCGATTTTGATTAAAATGTTGGTGTAACAACTCTAAAGTCGTAGCTGAATTTATATAAGCCATGTGCATTGTTCTAATTTGCTAACCGTCTCCTCATTTAGTGTGTTTAAGCGTGAGAGTTTCAATGTTTAATTTTCCATACATAGAAAAGGGAAAAAATAAATGTTATGTGACCTAAAAATCATATTTGGCATATAAAAGTAAAAATTGATTTTTTTCACCCCTTTCTATTTGCAAAGGTCAAATATTGTTAAACCTACGAATATTTTAATGATTTTAAGTTAGTATAACTAACCAGTTAATGCAATGATACTAAAAACAGTTTGTTTCCTTACATGTAAAGAAACATCTCGATCAAATATTTTGATATCTTGGTTGCAGCTGAAAATCTCGATTTCGGTTTACAAGACGTACATGCAAAATGAAAGTATCGCCAGATTGGATGAGGTAAAAAAAGATGGTTCGATAATATCTTATCATTCGGAAGCACAAATCTAAAATTATTGGTAGATCCAACCAACGATTTGGTCAAATGAGAAATCAAATTTTTTTTTTTTTTAAATTTTAAACTTATTTAATTGTCTCTTCCAAGAAAAGTTAAATCGATGTTATCAATTCACAATTTCATATTATTAAATGAGATGATGCTAATTTGAAATTATTACCATGAAGATATCATTAAAAGGATTTAATCAACTAAATATTTCTCATATTATATGAAGTTGGCAATTGTCATCTGAAAGATATTTAACAAATAATATCTTATTATTAAAGTAAATGAATGGAAAAGTGAAATGTTAGGTGGTTATAATCCAAGTGAATCGAAAGGGTATTCCGGTAAAAGTTTTGCTTTGAAAAAATAAATCTAGGAGGGTAAATTATCTCGATAATTTCAAATATATCTTTCATTAATTTGCATTTTGACAAATTAACATTAGATAAATGACTGAATAGATGAAAAAATATATATAATATAAAATTCAATTCATATATATATACAGTATATACATATTAATTAATTAATCATTAAAGATTAAGAAATAACCATGGTTAAATGTACAATTTATTGTTAAATGTACAATAATTATTCTATATATATCTTACATAAAATTAATAATTGTATATTAAAAGAGAATAATTAATTATTATATATAAAATGCTTTTATATGATGATTCTAAAATATATGATATTATTATACAACTGAAGTAAATAAATAGTCTAAGTTTCTATTGCAGTATTTAGTAAGTATTTCATGAGAAAACTCAATTTAATTAATAATCATAGCCATACTCATACTCATCATCGTCATCATCGTCATCATCATCTTCTTCATCATCATCATCTCCTCCTTCAACTTGTTTTCCTTTCTTCACATTTCTTTTCAACTTTTCTTTTCTTTTCAATTCTCGAAGTTCCATTTTCATTTTAACACACTCCCTTTTTTCTTTGCCACTTTCCTTTAGCCAACTTTTTAAAAATTTTCTTTGTTCACCCTCTTCACTGCCAGTTACATTTAAGGCTTCTTTGATGCTTTCAGGTGAACTTAAAGAATAAATCCTATCTAACAACACTTTTATTGTTTCTAATTGAGATAATTTAGCGGCATAACCCAAAACATTAAGTGCTTCCCCACTTTTAATTAATTCCTTTTCTTTTTGATCATCAGTTAAATCAAATGCCACTTTACTTGTTCCAGCAATCATTATCTCATCATCACCATCATCATCTGAAAATTGTTCTTTCATTTCCTTTTCATCTTTGTCCTCTAGTCCAATTCTAGCATTTACATCAACCCCCCATTTAATCAAACTTTTAATTAATTTTTTAACCCATTCTTCCCTCATATTAATTCCCATATCAACACAAACGAATAATAAATTTGGTAATTTTTTTCCAGGTATGGTGATCTGTTTATTCACATCAGCACCATGACTAACCAATAATTTTATTATCTTGTAAATCTTTTCAAAAGGTCCACAATGATAATTAAACCTAACTTGCGTTAAAGTATATCCCAGAGGGTTACCACCAATTTCATTCCTACTATTTGGATTTGCTCCATTTTCCAAACAAAATCTTAATAAATTTGGTGTCAATCCTTTATGCCATTTAAATAATATTGTTAATAATAACGTGTCTCCGTTGTTTTTTGTTGAATTGATTGAACACCCATTTGACATTAAATATATTAATGATTCCTTAAAATGTTTTGAGTTCGTTTCTGCTGAAAATAATGACTTGTTTTCTCCTAAATAAATTATTGGTGACCCTCCTGTATACGAATTTGTACAATCACACGTTGCTTTTAATGATCGCAGCACATTAAATGTTTCTATGATCTTTTCCCCTGGACAATATTGTGCAGCTTCTATCATCAATGATTCTAATGGTCTTCTATAACTAATAAATATTTTTTTTTTAAACATAGAAATTTAACATGAAGCGCATTTTGCCGTAAAGAAAAAAGAAATCATAATGTGTCAAATACCTATTTCTTGGACCTGTCACTTGTTGAACCTTATTAACTTCCTCTTCCTGTACTTTTACATGCCATTTTAGTCCATCAATGTCACCTTGTCTAACATGATATGCTGCAAAACATGGTGCAGAATTAATCGTCCAATTATTAGATGCGAATAACATTCTACAATATTCACTGTATGGAACTACCAATCATAACAAAAGAAAATTAAAAATCGGCCAAAGTTCATTCAAGTTGAAATTAAATAATTTATAACTACATTTGTCTGGTTCTGCTGTTATCGTTGATATTCTTCTCATAGAATTATCCGAATAACTTCTTCCGATATTAAAGAATCCTTCATAACGAATAAAATGAGTCAAAAAAGTCAACTTTTGTCTTTCTATATTATATTAGGAAAATTAAAATATAATTTACCCCTGCCTTTTAAACTAGTTTCGGATTTTGGTGTTGTTGGAGTTTCTTTTTCTTTATCTTTAATCATGAGATACAAGTTAATTAAAATAATAATTATCAAATGATGATACATTATCGTTTATGTACCTGAAAGTACCGATGTCCAATCAGCTCCTATTTTTTTATTATTATTTATAATTTCTGAAATAACATTTAATTGGTGATTAATTTGTTTAAAAAAAATAAAAAATAAAAATTATTTATTTACCTTCTTCACTCAACACATGTGTAGATCTCCCGGTTGATCTCTAATTAAAAAAAAAATATTTCATATTACTGGATGAAGCTTTCGAGTTACACTTGAAATATCTTAATAAAATACTCACTCTAAATAGTTTTTCACTTCCGGATAATCTTCTAACAAGATTTTTTGCTCTAGTTTTTACCTTTTTCTTCCATGATTTCTTTAACGTGGTTTGTTCCATAGTTAATTCTGGCTATAATGCGAATCAAAAAAAAAAAAAATATATTCATTTTATTTATTTTACAAAAAAAAAATTGCATTAATAAAAGATAAAATGATTAATATTATTACCTCATTAGATATTACTGTTGTGTTTGTATGTTTTATTTCTTTTCGTACGTTTGAAACACTTAGACCTGCAAAACGTAAAGATAAGTTGTGTGTTCATTCGATGCCCGAGTCCTTTTCTTGGACAACTGTTTCACTTACCTTCAGTAGTTATTTTCAACGATTTCTTATCATGTTCTTTTAATAAAAATGAATTAGTTATCTAAAATTATCATAAATTACCACAAATTATTTCGATTATACCTGTTGTTACGATTTTGGTAATTTTTGTTGGAGTTGGTTTCTCAATTTTTTTATCTACAGATATGTAACAGATTAACATGATTATAACAATTATAACGATAATGTCAAGCGGGTGAAAATAGTATCATACCTATTTTTGTAAGCCACAGCTCCGCGGTCATCGCATCTTTTGCCATCTCCGATAGTTCTTTTTGATTATATTACGTCAAGTCAGAAATAATTTTAATCAAGATAAATTTTATCGAAACTTGATCATTTACCTTGTTCTGACATTCGATTGGATGATTTATGACCTTTTTTTTCAAAAGAACAATATTTTATAAGAACAATGGAAGAAACGAAACAGCTATTTCAAGTTAACAAGCGTACTTACGAAAAAAGAAAATTTTTTTTTGATATATTTATATATTTTTTTTTTTTGGACAAATTGAAACATTCTGTATTAGAATTGTTTTTTTCTCATCATCATGTCACGTATTCGACGAATAAATAAGTTTTTGCAAACCTGTATTCATGATGTCCAACAAATTTTTCAACTGCTTTAATAAAATTCCAATGATTGGCCTCTTGGTAGGATCGTTATTCCAACACCTTGTATAAAATTCACTGTACGCAATCGGCGTATTTGGTATAACATTTTCCCGTTTATTATGTAAGATATTGAATATCAAATTACGTTTAATGGGATCATCTTGGTAAGGGGATCTTCCGCTCGATATTTCCCACATTATCACCCCCAAACCATAAATGTCAGAACGTGCATCTTTTCTATATGATTTATCTAGTAATAATTGTGGTTCAACGTATGGTACGTTGTTAATCGAGAATTCATCGCGAGTTGAAGCATCGACGGAGGTAGGTGATGTGAGGTATTTAATCATGCCGAAATCTGATAATTTTACACGATTTTGATGAAATACAATGTTCCAAGGATACTAATGAAGCGCAGTAAACATAAATAAATGCGCATGAATTATTTTGTCGATGCATTTAATTTACCTATCACATACAGTTTATCTCTTTAAGATCAGAATCAACTTACCAAATTACCATGTGTTATTCCATTTACATGAAGAAAATTTACCCCTTCGGAAACCTGATAAGCTATGTCTAATTTATCAACCCATGATAATTTGGCAAAATTTTTTTCTAAAAAATGGTGTAGGGTTCCTCCATCGGCAAATTGTGTCACAAAGAATAAAGAATTCGTCGTTGGTACTATCGATAAAAAAAAAAAAAGGCTAAACTTTTAGGGATATATTTATTTTAAAAGGGAAAGAGAAAATATATATATATATATATATATATTTTTTTTACTTACCTTGAGAAATTCCAAATACCTGAATGATTCGTTCATTAAAATCCCTTTGTGAATATAATTTTAACTTAAGAGAAAAGGAAGGGGTGGGGGGGGGGGGAAATAAAAAGGAGGACTAATCAATCATCGTTTTATATTCTATAAAAAAAATAAAATGAAATAAAATTATAAAGAAAAAAAAAAAAAAGAAGAAAAAAAAATATATATATGGGTCACCTCGTGAAGGAAAAGTTTATTCATTTCATCATCAACAATCAAATTATTTTGAACGATCTTGGATGAGACCTTTATTCCGGTTTTTTTCCAATAATTTACTCTGTCATCACCTTCCTTGGTATCAAATTCTTCAAAGGGAATTAAATTGATATGACGCAATTTGACGATATCGTCAATCCACTTTATACATTGGGCCATTGTTTTTATTTAATTTAATTTAATCTTTTTTTTTTTTTTTTTTTTTTAAGGAATAATGCTCGTTCGTGCTTTTAATTATAAAAGGGTTTAACTTCTTTTGACGTGTTTAATATTCAGAAAAGGATTAAACCACATAAAAATGGTTGAAAAGATAAAAACAAAAAAAAAAAAAAAGAATGAAAATGAAAATGAAAATGAAAAATAAAACAAAAATGTTTTAAGTCATAAATGTTCAAATAAAAAAAAAATTTTTTTTTTTTAATGTATATTACCTAAAATTCGATGATCTTAAGGAATGAAATAATTTCTATAAGATAACCATAAAAAGAAATATTTGTAGCAAAATAAACCTGTGGTAATAAAAAATAAAAAAAAAGGGAAATATGTGGGTAAGAAAAATAACGCGAGAATACGACAAATTTCATTGTTTAAGGTAACATAAACACCACTTAATACAAAGTATGTTATAGTGCAACAAAGAGTTGAGATGTAAAAAATAAGAAAATATGCTCGTATGGATTCACAACAATTAAGAGAACAATATTATTATAACATGACTTTAATTGAAGGTTACACTTGTGCTTTTGGTTAGCAAAGAAATCCGAATGAATGAAAAAGGCGAAAAATCAGAAATTGAGAATAATAACTTGTTCGGAATTACAAAAACTAACGTTTTGCTACATTTTGTCTATATAATATCCGTTCTATAACCATAATTGGAGCCAATGAATTTTGATGAAACAGTTTACAAAGATAAAATTCCTTATTTGGTCGTTGAATCCTTTTTTAAAGGTAATGGTTCCTCCAGGTTGAACTTTGCACGAGGTATCGTCATCTAGATTTCCATTTCCATAACAATCATGTGTCGATTTCGGACGGGGAGATTTGGAATGGGTTTCAACCAACTTTTCATCTTGTGTCTCATTAAATGATGCCAACTAATTTGTAATTCATTTCCTTCATTAGAGCCTTAATCGTTGATACATACAGTATTATTATGGTAAACAAAATGTAAACAAAAAAAATTATGAAAATATTCATGCAACCGAGAGGAGATCGTTAAATTCCATTTATGTATGTATATAATAGTGCACAGATATTTCCTTTTTATTTAAATTTACCTTATAAAAAAACATTATTATGCATTAAATTTCATTTTATTAGCTTGATTTGTAGATGAACGATTGCTTTTATCCAAATCTATTCTACAATTGGGAAAGCTGAGAAGGGTAATGAGAAAATGCGTGATTTCACGAGTTTACTAATCAAAAAAAAAATAAAAAAGAAATTTGTCGGCCGACCAATCAAGTTCGAATACGCAGTAACGCTAAAAGAAATTTTTTTTTTTTTTCATCATTTATTATACATTACGTGACCATTTGACTAGGCGTTGATGATTTCAAAATTACAACTTTTCAAGATTCCTTTTTCTTTGTATTTATCACATATTTCTTCGAACCTGCCTTTATCACCTTTGACGCAGTGAAATTCGATTCCCAATCCAAAATTTTCATGCTGTTCGGAACTTATCAGAAAATCCTCCAATTCCTCATCATTAAAGTTCCACCTCCCGATCAAATCGATCTTTTTCAAATCCCTCGATATCTTTGAAGGAATTAATTTAAGGAATGGGTTGGCTTCCAAAATCTCATCATCCCCATCACCTGCTATCGCTTCAAGTTTGAGATATTTTAAATTCATGCAAGAACTAAATAATATTTCAATGTCATTAAGCACGTTGCTAGTCACCCAAAGGTTCAGGCTCTCTATCTTTGGACAATACGCTGTAATCGTGTCGACGTAATTTGAGACGGATTCTATGCTTTTCTTATTTAATGCGTGGGTTTCAATTTGAATCTTTTTAATGGTATATTTGGTCTTTTGTAAAAGGGAGATAATCGGTTCAAGCGAATTGATGTCCGATAATGTGATCTCTAGAATTTCCAAGGAAGGTAACTTCATCGAATTTAACGAGTTCAAAACATTATTGATGAAGATATTCTCCATTCCCAGGTCTATTGATAAATATCTTAAGTTGGTCAAAAAAGGATTGACGTGTTTTAATGACATGTATGAGATGTCTTCTTCTTTGAATTCAAGTGAAATCAATGATTTTGTCAAGTGTTGCAATGAGCTTGATATGTTTGGACATTCCTTATTATTGTACTCGTAATCATAGGAAATGAATTTAATGCGTCTCAAATTTTTTTGTAAAGATATTAAGGTGGCCAATCCTTGATTGTCATAATTTGGATAATTAAAATAAATGTAAACGATTAAATCCGTTATGTTATTTGAAATTTTTGATAATTGAACGTAAATATCTGGTGAAATTCTAGTCGTACATTCTAATCTTGTTATGGTTTGAAATTTTGAATCATATTCTCCCTTTTGGTAAAATTGATTCATTGATTGATCGCAAGGTAAAACGAAATGATCGATCCTTTGTGACCCATTTAAGAATAATTTCCACAACTCGTCAATCAAATAATATTGATTATTATAAAAATTATAATTGGTCTTGTAATTCTTTTTATATAAGATAGCTTGAGCGAGTATCGCTATCAAATTCTGTGATAAATACCGACAAGGTGAAATGTAATCGTGCATTGGTTTTCGGTTAATGATGCTTGATTTGGAGATATTATTAAAAACGAGTAATTCTTTGACGTGTTTTGGGAATGACAAAAGGATTGTGTAAGAGATGGGTTTCCAAAATTTTATCGTATAAAATGTATTCTTCCATGGGTGCTTCCTCCAAAGAATGGTCACCGCAACCTTTGACCAACGATGATTTAATTGCATGCAAGCGTACAAATCATTTGGATTCTCCGATAAATTTTCCAGGACGTTCAAGATAAATTCTTCGTTAAGGTCGGTTGCCATTTTTAACTTTTTTGATAAAATTTTTTATTTTTATTTTATATTTTTAAAGAAAAAAAAAAGGAAAAAAATTTATTTATTTTTTTTTTTTTTATTAAATAAAAAAAAAAATTCCGTTTATATGATGTCGATCTTTTTGCAAATCGCGGTTAAAGTATAAAGATTTAGTTAGATTTTTAGTCAATTCGAAACAAATGAAAATATAAACCGAAAATAAAATGTTTTTTTATCTCCGATAAATAGAGGAATCTGAAAATTTTTAACGGAGGTTTTAAAGAGATCTAATATGTGAGTTGACCATCGTCAAACCCTACCATACCATACGCATGTGGTTTTTTTTTGATCTTCATGGAAGAAATACAAGGCCTTAATTGCATTCATTCATTTAATTTGATCAAAAAAAAATTAATATAATATCGTCAAATCGCACGCCCATTCTGTTTATCATCAGCCAAGGCTAGTTTAAAAAAAAATCCTCAACCTATTAATGGAAATTTTTTTTTCTTCTCGAATCAAAATCTAACCTCAATCTCATTAGTGAACCATGTGTATTTGATTTTTTCTTCCACTTGTATCCATCGAATAATGCAATCAGCTGGAAGCTTCTCGATCCGAACCCTTGCATAAATATTTGTAGAATTAATATAAATGAGGCTAATACGAACTCTCGGAAATATTTCATCATATCTTTATTAACCTCTTTATGTGTAATAAAAAAAAAAATAATAATAAGGCGTGGTAGAACGTTAAACTCGGGAAAATTAAATTTTGAAATTTGAGCACATCCTTTCGCTGAGGGTAATTGGTTTGCGATGTGCACAAAGAGTCACTATATTTATATTTGATTTACATGTTTATCTGAACTTTTTTCTTTTTTTTTTTTTTACGGGTGTTTACAATTGACCATTGGATGGAATTAATTTGTCACACAAGAAAAAAAAAATATTACACCATCGTTTTCCGTTTAGAAAGGGTCCAATAATAAATTATATAAATCTTCAATATGGTATGTCAATTTATCTATTATATACAGTATTTATATTTTTCATAATTGTTTGCACTCAATATGAAGGAAACAAAATCATTTGACGAGAATTTAACGTAATCGCGTTAAATCCCTCCGACCAATTTTTATAATTTCACAATAATTTGTTTATTTGTAAAGATATGAAATTTACCTTTACCAATTGTAATTCAAATTAATTAAATGAAATTTCATCAAATGGTTCATATTTAATGTAACAAACAGCTAGTATTAATACCATCACAGTGAGTTCCCAAATAAGTAAGTTGAGATATCAAAAAGATGCCAAGTCAATCGATTGTTGAATTCAAAAAAATAACCTTTTAGCACCCCTAATTGATGATATCATTATTTATGGTGAGGAATACCCATTATTAACGTACCTAACCTTTTTTTTTTTATAAGGCTTTGATTTCTTCTTTCGGAAAAAGGAATTTTGCTAATATAAGAAATGAATTTGCAATTTAAATAAATTTATCTTTAATTATATTTGCTTTTATAAATAAAAAATAATCGTACATAAATACAATGAATGTCTCTATCCAATTCTAATAGCGGTCTCAGAGGTCTAGTTGAGTCTAACTAGGATCAAACCTGGTGAATATGTAGCGAAGACAGCTTTTGTTAATGCAAATGGTTTTTCGAATCCCACTGTTATGATTAAGAATGGGATTGCCTCGCTGATAATTGAAAGATGATTCTTATATTAGTATTAGAAGATTATGATTATTAAGATGGGTTATGATTTATAATACTGGATGGCAGCCTCTGGGCAAGTGTATACAGGGTGGGTTATTCATAAATTCGAATTGCTATTTTGTTTGTGGTTCAGCAGGCACAGCATATGCATTCAATTATTAGATGGGTATACAAATTCATGTCCAGTAATAAAAAACGATGAAATCTTTCCTAAATTTTAATCGTGAGATTAGATGTCCTTATTGGAGTCTCGTGTTGTTTATTAAATATTACATTAACAAATAATTTCCCCAAGAAAACAAAATAAAAACAAATGAAATATTTAAAAACTTTCATTACTAGTTTTTTTAGATACTTTTTAAAACGCTAGTACGACAAATTCTTTATTAAATTTTTAAAAAAGTGCTAGAACAGTATCGATATCAAGAAGGGATAGAATAAGAATCATGAAAATTCGAGCAGTCACCTGACAATAAGACCATTATCGCGAATGATAAACTGAGATGAAATAGAATATTAAAATCGTAGCCATGAAGAAGGAATTATGCAAAATAGAAATTAATTTGTACCATTGACGTTCCCTTTGGGTAAAATGGCAAATGTTATTTTGAAAAAATATATATATATATACACGAACACCAATAGCAAAAGTGAAACCCCAGAGTAATTAACCCTCTCCGACATAACCTGTTCCAATAAGAAGAATATTACTCAATAACAACAAAAAATAATATTGCAAGATATAATAAACTTTATAATATTATAATTTTTAAATCAATACCTTTTAGCAGAAAATTATGAGAATCAAAGAATTTTTACCGGTAGGAAAAAAAAAAAGATACTGTACAACTATGGTTTAGACACCAAAGGTTCATGATTGTAATTTATTTATTAATAAAATTATGATTATAGATGAACTATAAACAATTATATCTTTACAAATGAAAAAAAGAAAATAATCTAAACTAAGCATATAATTGACAAGTACGTTTATGAAGATGATTTCCGTTCCTTCTAATTTGATCATAATCAGCCAAGCACCTGCAATGCGAAAAAAAAAAAATTAATTACTTTATTTCCTTTTTTAAAAGTAAGTTCAAAAATACTTACAACCAACAAAACTCGTATCTACAATTTTGGACTTTACAAGTCATATGATTACAACCACCATTTTTGGTGATTCTAACTCCACACTTGGGACATTGTTTGGTTTCGCGATTAAGTAAATCTTGAGTAGCCATGTCTTCACCTTGTTTTGCTTCATTGTATTCCTCACAAGAGAGATTATCATGCCATGGAATGTCGTGCGTGTAACAAGATTTTTCCCCACATGCTTCACATGTCATTATAGGTTCTTTATCTGAAAAGAGAAATGATGGTCGGAGGGAGATTAATTTCTTGTTATAATTTCATCGTACTGTAGTTTATAAACACTTACCACCCCCGGAGTGAATTTGACCAGATCCACAACCAGCATTCTTACACCACCTGAAATCTGGCATACTTCTTAACGCTTGTTTCAATGACAAGCTATCATACCTGTAAATAATTAAAAATATATTTATTTATTTATTTCAACGAAAATTGTTTAAAGTTGTTCCCTTATGAAAATGAAAGGTATTACTTACTGTTCAAACAGACTAGAATTTACAATACTTTGAACATCATTGTATTCAATCAAAAAACCACAGCTATCACCAAAAGGACAAAGAATTCCCTCAATGTCACCCTTTGAATTTAACTGGGTTTCGATATGTTTAGAAACACAAAGCTTACAAATATCATTGGGATGTGAACAATATTTTGTGATCTTTGGGAAATGTCTTACACTGCGAGATTCTACACAAATAATACATTCCTTTTCCTTTTTTTTCTTTTGCGAAGAAGAGCATGTCCCATTATCAAAATTATATGAAGTATTAGAAGTCGATTTGGACGAGGGATTCGTATCATCGTCATCATCTTTGAGAGATAATTTTTTGAGATAATCGGAAGTTACAGTAAAGTGATAAGGAGAATCATCATTATCAGAAGAGAGATCAAAAGAAAGAGCTGTTGAAGGAGAATTTGTTGAAGTAGTTGAATAGGTAGAGGTAGATAAGTAAGAGTATGGAGAAGAATTCGTGTAAGTATATGAAGGAGAAGAAATATTTGAAGTTGTGAAATTATATGAAGGAGGAGAAGTTGGAGAAGAAGTAGTTGAAGTTGTGAAATTATATGAAGGAGGAGAAGTTGAAGAAGAAGAAGTTGAAGTTGTGAAATTATATGAAGAGGGAGAAGTTGAAGAAGAAGAAGAAGTTGAAGTTGTGAAATTATATGAAGGAGAAGAAAAAGTAGAAGTTGAGGTATGTGGAGAAGAAGTTGTTGAAGTAGAAGTGTTTGAAGTTTTATAAGTTTTTGAAGTAGTTGTATAAATATATGGAGACGATGTATATGATGAAGAAGGGGAAGAAGTTCTTTCTTCCTCTTTTCTATAAGACGATGTAACAGAGAAAGTGTACATTATTTTAAATTTTTAAATTTTATGAAAAACAAAAAAAAAAAAAAAAAAAAAAACGGCAAAAATGATGAACAATAAGCAAAGAGCAAATAATTCTGTATTGGTGTACAAATGGTTGGAAAATATTTATTTATTATATTTATAAAAATAATCCTGTGCCCAATTTGGCGCAGTACAAATAAAAAGAATTTTCTAAATTTTAAAAAGATTTTGCGAATATGAACGATTTTTCATTAATCTCCGATACAAATAAAGTGTCATAATAATTTCTCCAGGTTCCATTTATTGTTTTTTTGCCCATCCGACCACCAGGCAATAGTTCTTGAATGTACCAAAATTTGGAATCTAAATTTTGAGTGTAATAATATAATTTATCATTTGCTTGAAATGATGTAGCGACGTGAAATGGTTGCTTTAAATAACCGTGAGCAGTTTCGGGTCCCATCTTACCACCGTCGAATAATTCCCTTATAAACCAATATCTACGCACAACGTTATGACCATAATAATAGGTTTTGTCATTTATGTTAAAAGCAAAGGCAACGTGATGAGGTTGAGCGCATGTACCATTTGCGGTTTCTTTGCCTATTTTACCCCCGGGCATTAATTCATGAATCGACCAATCGTTTGTTTTAACGTTATGACCGTAATGATAAATTCTACCATCAGAAGTACGAAATGGAAATGTTACATGATAGGTCGTTTTCCATGTACCATGTGATGTTTCTTTACCTAATTTCCCTCCTTCTAATAATTCTTGAATGTACCAATAATGCGAAATTGAATTTTGGGCGTATAAATAATTTTTATTGTAAATTTTGAATGTGAATAAGACGTGATATGGATTTTCTAATGTACCATGTGATGTTTCTTTACCGAATTTACCTCCTTCTAATAATTCTTGAATGTGCCACGTATGCTTATTTGCATCATGCGAGTAACAATATGTCTTTTCATTAATTTGGTATGAAATGGCTACATGACTATTCAATTTTTTGGTGTAGGTTGAGGTGTGATTCTTTGAAGTGATGGGTTTGAGTGTTAAGGATAATGTTTTTGTGAGAGAAAGTCGATTTGTTGATTTGTTCGTCCTTTCTGCTCCTAATTTACCATCAGATATCAATGCCCAATATCCTGTCATACTTTTAAGAGAAAGAGTGTATTTAGTGAAGTGATGTAAGTATGACCAATTTCAAAGGAGTTTTTTTTTTTTTTTGAAAAAAAAAAAAAATGAAAATGAAAAAAAGAATGTGAAAATAATGTTAATAATAAATAATGACTTTTACAAGAAAAACAAAAAAACAAAAAAAAAAAAACAACAAAAACACGACTTCCTTTATATAAAAAAATTTATACTATCATACTATAACGCAAGTAATATATAAACTGATGAAAGTTGCATAAATTGTATTAATCTTTAAAACAATCAGATATACAAGAATACTAATAAACAAACAAACTTTTTTTTAAATAAACTGTTATTACTTTTCGTACGAATCATGTCATTTGCAATGTTAGTATTCGGATTTCTCATTTATTGGTCCTTTCAAGTTCATGAGCGAATTATTGCTATTTTAAGCAAACAAATAAGAAAATACAATTAATTTGGCTTGTTTTTAAAATAGCAATGTTTATATTTAGAAGTTATTTCTTTTTAAAAAAAAATTTTTAAGATTTTTCGAATAATTAATTTCGAACCAATCGTCATTTAAATAATTAATTTGACCATAAACAATTACAAATCGAGACAAGAATATATCAAGAACTGCAACAGTTAAGGATCTTAATAAAATTATGGTTATCATTTGGGAAAATTGTTTCGCAAATTTGCGTAATTCATTACACGCTATTGAAATAAAATATTAACTCCAAATGATGTTCTTATTTTGTTTTCTTTCAAAATTCCAACGATAAATTATCCACTTCCAAATTTTGTCATTAATTCCGATATATTAGGACCTTTTAAAATGAAAAGTTAAACAAGGTCTAACACCAAACACAGCTTTCAGCAGATTTCACGATTTGAATCGTGTATTGCTGCCAAAATGAACAAGATGAAACTGTTCAAATTTATATAATTATTTTTTCAGAAAGAACATCGATTGATTGCCATTTTTTTGTCCTCTATTTATTACTTGATTGTTTACGTTTTAGGTTTTTTAATAATTGGAATAATTGGACCAATAATCTACCTGTTTCAATACGGATTTTCTTCCTTCTGGGGCATAGTGGTCCTTGGATTGTTTAATCTACATTTGATACGCGGTAAGGTGGATAACTTTATAATGACTGGACATATGGCGCAGCTTTTATGCATCTTTGACAGCGTCGCTATTTTTTTTTTCTTTTTTTTTTTTTGTTTTTATTAACGTTCCCTTGATTAGGATGAAGCACATGGTTCCCTATAAATAACAACTATGTCCAATCCTATGAAAATGCCAGATGACATACATTATTCCATTATTCCCATGAGCCAGGTTTGGATAAATTTACAGTTCTCCAATAATACATTTCGTTTTTTTTCTCTTTAGAACGAGCAATTAATAACACATGTATTTATCCCATTGTCACTATTTATGCACCGATGAATTATTTGTCGTTTTCCAATGGTTGATAAGATTTACATTCGGTGCATACGTCATATGCAACGACCACAAGGTATTAACATGTCGCATGTTGAAAAGAGAAATGTAAAAGCATTGTCTAATATTAATTAGAAGCCATTAAAAAATTTAGCATATCATTTTATAGAAATTAATAAATAGACCTTTATTTATAATGCATTAATATACTATTTAAACACAAGTAACTCTTCTATAATATTAACATTATCCAAAAATCTATTCACTTTTTTTATCCTAACAAAGGTTATTTTCTCTTTTTGCTAAATATTGGAACAAATCACGTGATTAAATAATAATAATTATAGTTCCTTCATAAACTTCTTACCTAAAGAAACATTTTAAAATAAAGTTTCACATAAAAATTACTTACCTAAAAAGGAAAATATTAAT